CTAGCAAACAGAAACAATACGAATTGTCATGACGGCACATTTCGTTATTGACAAAAACAGTGGCCCGCGACACAAAGCCTACAAACTATTTCTTATTTTGACAACACAGTTGCTGTTTTGTGGTGGTTTTGTCCTTTCGATTGAAATCCACCTTTAACTCGATATACAGGGTGTTAATTGAGTATGTACCATAAATTTAACAGACGATTGTTTACGTAATTTTAAGACGAAATGTTCATATGAACATGGGTTCGCAAATTCTTCGTTCTCAAGATACAGGGTGTTAAAATAAAAATAAAATAAAAGTTATTCGTAAATATCTTAAATATCCTTTACCTAATTTCAGTTGTAATTTGGCATACTAACAGTGAAATGGCAGATATGCATTTCTGTTATGGAATGGCTCACAGAATCTCAAATGCTGCAAGATGCATTTACCATGAAAGATTTCCTCAGCGTGTAGTGCCTAATAGAAGAACTTTTGTATGTCTCCATGCACGACTTTCTGAAACAGGCAGCTTTAAAAGATCGATGGTTGTCATTGGGAGGCCTGCAACGGTACGAACAGTTCAAATTGAAGAAGCTGTTTCAAATGAGATTGAAGTAAATCCTAATACCAGTACTCGGAAAATAGCTGAAGAACTATCACATGCAACGTATGCAAGCTCTATTGCCCAGAGATTTGTCTATAAGACTAGCTTTTTCCAATTGGTTACGCGGTAAAATAAGAAGAAATCCAGGTTTTCTAAGTCGAATATGGTTTACAGATGAAGCTTGTTTTTCTCGCAATCCAAGTATCAACTTCCACAACAATCACATTTGGACCGAAAACAATCCATACGCCTTGATAGAAAATAATTTTCAAGAACAGTTTTCTTTTGATATTTGGGTTGGAATTGTCGGTGACCATCTCATTGGGTCTCACTTTCTTCCACCTAGACTGAATTGGGAGAGCAGGCCCACATCCATGGCCATCTCGCTCCCCGAAATGAATCCCTTAGATTATTTTCTCTGGGGACACCTCAAAGCGTTGGTATACAAAACTGCTATTCAAAGTGAAGAGGATTTACGGAATAAAATCATTAATTCATGTGACATAATGAAAAATACGCTAGGTATTTTCAGAAGCGTGCGAAATTCAATAATGCGGCAGCTAGACGGTTGTATTGAAGCCGAAGGAGGCCATTTCCAACACTTAATCTAGTGCAATTCGTTAGTCTAGATGTTAATGTTATTTGATATTTGTTGTTATTGTTACATAATCAGTGATAAAAAATTGTAAAAATAATAATTTCCAAAAGGAACATTTAATTCCCCATATCATTCTTCGTGAGATCCAGGGATATGCAATTAGGTCGACTTTTTTTTTTCTTAAAAACTATGCAAGATACGAAAAAAATTCCGGAGACAAAAAAGTTGTATTTCTAATTGCGCAATCCAAAGACATAATAAAAATTGCACAGAAGTCAGTGGCGTACATTTTTAAGTCAAAAATATTCGTTCAAATCCCGCTCGAGACGCCACTGGAGCTAAATCGAATCACGTTCGGGCTAAATTAGCTCCTTAATGTTATAAATACCTTCGCCAAATTACAATAAAATTAGATAAATGATATTTAAGATATTTATTTCAACACTCTGTATCTTGAGAACGAAGGATTTGCGGACCCATGTTTATATGAACATTTCGTCTTGAAATTACCTTAAGAATCGTCTGATGAATTCATGGGTACATACTTAATTTTCATGATTATATATTAGAAAAAAATATAAAATAATTAATTAATTACTACCTTCAATAGATTTCAATAAAATTTATTTTTTAAGTGCACATCTTTCAAATTCTGTCCGTTAGACCCCAAGTATCATACCTTTTCGGAATCAGCTCGTTACGGATTATCTAAAACTGACACCAAATACAGGGTGTTGCATTTAAAAAAATACCGATGACGTCATCACATTAATATGAGTATTATGAAATTTTGTTGGTAAATGTAGAATATTGAATTTAAAAATCGACTTGTTTAAGGTTTTTGTAAAACGAACTTTGGTTTTGGAAATATCGAATTTATTCCATACTTTGCGGACACACTGTATACGTGGTATTAGCCGGGGAATATTTCAAAATATTAATCTATCCCAACTACCTACAAGTAGGGTGTGATAAACGTCTGTCGAAAAACAACTTCCCCGGCGTGGTAGGGGAGACTGGGGCAAGATGAGATAGCTAAGACAAAACTCGTTATACAGAGAAAATTAAACTTTTTAATAACATTCTTTAACGAAAAAGGTAACCATTATACATTTCTCTCTTATAATTAAACGTTGCACCATGCAAAATCACAGAACCAATCCCGACCGGGATTGAAATAATACATTAACACAGTTACTTACATGTCTGTACATCAGTTCTCTCTGCAACGCAAAAACGAGTTCTAACCTGTTCGCTCTACTTGGACACACTAGCGGAGAATGAAGTTCGTGCAAATGGCGCTGTCGCCGCTCCGAACACGAATACTATTCACGCACACAAGCTTACTACCCGTGCTGCCCCGAACTCCATCTTGCCCCAGTCTCCCCTATTAGCCGGGGAATATTCGAAATTATGTTGAAAGGTGAGTCAGGTGGAAAAGCAGACTGAAGAAATCAATGCACTGAATGGGAAGCTGACATTTAAAACGGAAATAGAAAAAACTGAGTAGATTTATGTTTATCTCCGTCGAATGTTGGGAATATCTAACGCAAATATAATATACTGGGGGACTCTAGAGAAAAAAATCAACATACAACATCCTAATATACCATATAAACATTCATGTGAAGATTAAGATAGATGAACTTGGACTTTCAGAAGAGACAAAACAGTCAAGAGTAGTTGAGAGCAGACAGTAGCGCGCCATTGTAGTAGATGTTGATATGGCAACGCTGTTTGTGAACGACAGTTTCTATGAGCATTGTGATGATATTAAAGTTCAATCATGTACTATCGCTACTTTATGTATCAGTGATTCATACATGTAGACATCTGATATATGTTACATGTACTTCAGACACAGATGTAGTTGTAGAAATGAAATCTGTATACCGGGTGGAAAGGAATTTATTGTAAAAGGCGCCATTCAGTTTTTTGTGGGATATGATATTCGTTCCAAGCTGTCAAAATATCCTACGTTTCATAACCAGGTATGCAGCACCCGGGTCACAAGGGCAATGAGGAGGCCGACTTTCTAGCCTCTGAATGCACATTCAAGGCTATGATCGGCCCAGAACCCTTCTGCGAGTTGCGGAAGCATGTATAAAGATGTCCATAAACTCATGGATACAAGCCGAATCGATAGATTGGTTGAATAAGCTCCAAGGAACGAGGCAGGCGGAAGAGTTCATAAAGAAATCATCGCCCAGATTCACGGACCTGCTAAACCACAACCGTAAGGTTATAAGGGTACTGGTGGGTACACTATACTATAACAATTTTCAATTTTCAACGTCGCACTTGAAGTTACCTACGGATAATCCTCTTACCAACTCTGCAGAGGCGTACCAAAATAATATTTTTATTCATTTAAACACATAGGTAATTACGTAAAAATTGTTATATCCGTGTCGACACGGATATTCTTTTTAAAAATGAATACTGGGCTACTTCCACTGTACGGGGTGACAATTACAGACAATCTGTTTTTCTCCTAACGACATAAACTTCCTCTTTCTTTGTACATTACTTGGACCTGCTACGGCATCCATCTTAATACTATAAAAATAATAAAATTCAATCATATTATTCAGCTATTTGTCAGCCGTTTACTTACCTCAAAAACTATTTTGAAGTTGATGTATTTTGAAAAACACTTTATTGTGAAATTTTCACTAGAATAGATTAACAAATCCGCAACACGTATTTCGCTGCACAGTAGCTTTTTATAATAATAATAATAAATGGCCTTTATTTTACGTGGCGGAGTTTAGCAAAGAGCTATTCTTCCACTCAATCACGTTTGAAAAAAAAGAAACATTACAAAAAATAAATGGCAATTTCAGGACAATAGTAAAATGAAATACAAATGTTTATGTTTGGATCACTGTTGGCTGAGCAATTTTGTTTTAACTGTTCTTTTGAATAGCGGTAGTGATGAATTTTTCAAAGATTCACTGAATGAATTATACATTGTTACAGCATGATACGTAAAGGATCGTTCATAGATAGTGCTGTTATGATTTGGAATGTCAAAATTATTGTTAAATCTAAGATTTCTTGAGTGTATCTGATGTCTGGAAAGGAGTTTTTTTATCAAATAAGTGGGTTGTTGTGTTTTTATCAGTTTGTGAATGAAACAGGCGAAATGCAATTCTCTTGTTTTGAATTTTTACCAATTAAGTTGATTGATGGAAGGGGTCACATGATCTCTGTAATTCAAGCTGAATTAGTATATTGCAGGCGTTCTGTACTTTCTGAATTCTTGCAGAAGTTATGGAATCGATACAGGCATGTTCACTAACAAACTGAATTCTACATACATTGTGACTTATATATACTTTTTGAAATATTACTATCTACCTAGAAACCAATAATATTCTAGGAACTAATTACGGACAGTTATACCTGAGTTTAATGACTTGGTCAACTGATTATCTCACAATAAATTGTGAATGTGATGAAAATCTATGATAAAGTATTTTCAAAGTTAATAAATATAACAGTCTATTTAATAAATATAATAAAATATATTTAATAAATACAAAACAAAGTCACCTTCACAAGAAACAGAACACACTACGCCTATGCAGATAAGGACGTTTGATAATGAAGAAACCGAATGACTAGTTATGGCATTTTAAGGACGCAAATATAATGGACCTGCGAAGTGTTGATCAGTTTACCGATGTTTCAAAGTATTTAACGAACTGGTTACATTTTTTTCTGTATACGTAAAAGACACGTCAAATTTTACATTATGAAAATGATGAACAACTTCATAATTAAATTTACATAATTCATTTCTTTCGAGACGATAAGTCCCCAATTTCTAAGAACATAACATGACCTTTAATCATAGTGATGTTTCGCAAAATATATACAAAATGTGATGGAAATTCTGAGTACGTTGAAGAACGTCATATGGACATGATAAATAACATGTATGAAAAATATAATTGACCACCAGACACTGGAAGGCACAAATGTCAGTCGGAAATAATAGAAATATCCGCCGTGGTATCTATCTGAATAGAAATGGTTTTCCGATGTGTTTGCTAGATCTTTCTGAGAGGTGAATGTTTCGAATTTTTATTCAAATCATTCATTTTCTTGGTGCATGTATTCTCTACTTGACATACCACTTGTTGTTTGAATCTATTCTGATGTTCTGAACAAGCACAGAACCAAAACTTCCTGATGGTACAAAAAAAAATACAGTTTCCCATTTATTATAACTTTACTTTCTGATTTCCCAGTTTCTTGTTCTTGGTCGTTTTCTTGGAGAGAAAGCATGAACAAACATTGGCCATAGGACGTTCTATGATGAGATGCACTACTAGACCAGCAACGAATGATTGAATTATGTCCAAAACAGCCGTTTTTATCTGAAATGACAAACACATAGTTTAGTATCCAATATGAGTATTATTCAACCAGTTTTATTTTTCAAAAATTATTTTGGAGCAATTTTGTTGATTGGTTAGGTAGTTTTTGGAATAGCTCCAATTTCGAATAGAACATTTTTTGAAATTTCAGATTTTGAATGAATATAAGATTTAACAAATCAATATGCCACTTTGTGATGTGAATAATGCCTTTGCCTTCGTTGCGTTAAAACTGACATCTGCCCTCTGTTTAGCGCCACCCCTGTCAAGGGAACCTCTACTCCTCCGTACTTCCCCCCCCCATACAATGGGCGCATAACGTCGGCCATATGGAGGTAGCGGGGTAGAAGACCCATTTTCTTCATTTCCTACACAATACACTACGATATATACATACAATACTTCATAACATAATGTCCAACTGAACTAAAACAACAATTTTCTCTTTTAACTGTAGTTGAAAAATAAACATAACATATTCAATAAGCCCAATCCATGTACACCAATGAACAGCACATGAATAATGGCACATTTCATCGGAGCTCTTCACAATTCGACAGAATCATGTCCCGCCCTGACTGGAAAGACCACCCCCTTAGAAACGACATGTCCATTCTGTAAGCTAGCAGCTTACCACCTACCCTCCCCTTTCTTTCCTCACCACATTGCCCGCCCAATCATTCACGAATCGTATTTATGTCCATCAGCATCATTTCCCCATCTGTCCTTCCTTTCCACTTTCGCCATCCAATCCTATCTCCGCTATCTACCAATCACGTGCTCTGTCGTTTCAGGCTCCCCATAGTCACAAGGACAGAGAACCTCCGGACTCAGGTTGAATCGTGTTTCCTGTGTTACTGCCATCATGTCCCCTCCTCCATGTAATCTGGGTACCCACTCCCCTCACGCTCCTCTCCTCAATCATCCGCTGAATCATTGCTACTGTTTCATTTCCCCACTCTCCCTGCTTTCGCTCGTTCTACTGCTATAGCAGAGTCACTGACTACTTTCAAGCTCTCATCCATACCCGACATGCTGATCACCCGCTCTATCGCAATCAGCTCTGCTTCGTTCACGCTGCTTTGATCGGTGATCCTTCCATTCCTTGTGGTCAATTCATCTTCTCTTCTCTCAGACGCCTAGCCAATTCCCATTCTTTCATCCTCCAACCTCGCCCTTTTGGGACAACTGATAACTGGTAAATCGCTCTCGAAGCAGGCCCAAAAAATCAATAAGAAGAAGAAGATCTCTGCAACTAGTCAGGTAATGTACTGTAAATACCCTATTGTGGGAATGGAAGATTCAAATCTATGAAACACTTGAGCTGAACATTTTATTTATATTTCCTGAAATGACTCAAAGTATTTCTATCGTATATATTCAACTTCCATTCCATGAGGTGAGAAGTATTTCAGGAAATGCCCTTTTTCGTACGTCTTTCCTTCTAAACTACTTATATGTGACATATGAAGTAATATTTCATTGTTAGATTGTCAAAACTGTTCTGTAAAGTATTCAGTTAAAATCATCACATATGAACAATTGATAACCTTATCGAAACCTTCTGAGGTGTCTTCTTAATGTTGACATTCTTTACTTTCTGAACCAAACAGGGCAACTGTGGGAGACAAAAAAGTTAAATGAAATTGATACATTCATGTGGAATCATCAAAGGCAAAAAGAAACGGTAATTTCTTTAATTCAAGTTGATATAGTTTGTATTTTTTTTTCAGTCAGCTCCTCAATATTTGCAGTTGAAGCAAGTTCAATAATACAAGAAAACGATAATAAATGAGAGGAAATAAATATTGAGGCGATGATATACAGTCAGCATATTCAGTGAGGAACCTTTATGATTCTTCTTCGGAAATGTAGAAGTCAGTATCTTTCACTCACATTTTGTTTTTATCTCATATTCCACAAGCATATGATAAATCTGAAAATTTGTCAACCAAAATATTTCGAAATGATCCCTCTAACAGGTTCATAATTTTCTGAAAGTTCTCATAAGAATTAGTATTCAAGTCTGCCGTTGTATATTGAATTGAATCAATTTTTGAACATACATATCCCATCTATTTGTACAGGAGCATGAAAAAACATCCTCTCAGAGGTATCTCAAAGGTGCGACTTCGTGTCCTCCTGTTCGTAAAAAAAGACGTATGCCTTTCCACTCACAGGCGATTAGGTTGCAGTAGGTTATGTAATACCCGCTGTAAGTAGTCCCATTGTGATAAGAGAGTGCATATAGATTGTAATGACAAAGAGCTACATTGTATGCTACATAATTGCTCATATCTAATCTTTCAAGTGGAAATTCGATGGCAACATTTAATTCACCTCCAAATCTTTCTGTTGGAGATAATATTTTTGAACGAATTACTGAAATACGAGATTAAATGTGGATTGCAACCCGCACCTCGAACACGTCGGTTTTTTATCTCCATCCAAAGTTCCCTCTTTCGACAAGGAATCCAAGCATTGCGACGAATTCAATTGGCCAATTTTTTGTGATATGGGAAGTGACAAATCTCTGAAAGGATCAAAGGTTACTGATGAGTGTCACACAATCTGCGCACTTCATCGTGGATTTCAACTGGCTAAAAAAATCATTCACAATCTTAAGAGTCATACATCTTCAAGTATCCCAGTTCTCGGGCAGTTTTTCGTCTTCGTTAAGATCAGTTTAGGTTTCTCATTAACTTCGTCAACGTCCTCGTGTGAGCTTTCTAAAATATTAGGAAAGAATTTCTGGGCGTTATGATGGGCATGGTCCACGAATCGAGGAGCAAAACTTTGAACCTGACTTTTTAGGGAGGCTGTGTATGTGTATACTACTCTATCAGATAAATCTTCTGACCACACTTCTTCAATAACTTTTGCGAACGCTTTGATCAAAGCATCTTCCATACTAGAAATACTAGTATTGATATCTTTCATGTATCAATTCTTTCCTAAATGTCCCAGTAATCATCTCTGGTTTGATGAACACTGGAATATCCTATTTATGGAACACTGAGCCAGAGGGTATGGAGAATGTATCACTGATCTTATGTTTTTGGTATCACTATTTTTAGGGTTTCAAGGCCGCGGATCTTTGGAATTTCTTCCTGACGTTTCGCTGGCGCTGGTGCCTAGCTTTTTCAGAGGTTTGAACATCTTGAGGTATTCTTCGATGACCCCAATGTTGTTATGTCATATATGTTATATGACCTCCATGCTGTTATAACTGTTGATATGTTCGCCACTGCTGTCTTTTTTGAGTAATCACGGATGCGATGATTCTCCCCATCATTGCACCTGCGGGATAAAGTATTCGAAGTTAAACTGCTTGAAACTGAATTGACTGGATGAGTGACAGATTTGAGTTTGGAGGAAGATTATAATTCCAAAACTTGCTCATATTTCTCTGCATCTTCTAAGAAAATCGGGGAATGGTCAATTTGTTCCGTTCATTTTGGGCGAATCACAGGAGATTTCGTTTTAATTTGTGAGTTCAATACATATTGAACTCAGAATGAAGATATACTCACCAGACTCTTATCTGATATATCTTCTATGCCTCCTTTGAGGAGGTGTCGCCCGAAAACTACGAAGAAGTGGATCATATACGTGCTGTATGACCACCTGGCTACAAACTCCGCCAATCTCCATTCGCATATCGATTTGATGATTCCTCCTGAAAACAAGTTTGAGTGTTAGAGCTAGTTTTCAGGTTTGTTGGTCATGGTCTTATACACGACGTTCAGTCTACAATTCTGGTGCACATTATCAGAAACAATGAGAAATTGAACAGCGCTGAAGATAAGTGCTCTGTAACAAGTTTGTTCTACGACTTTGGTAGATTTTACCACTAACAATGAGGCAATGGAGAGAGCTATACTCGTAGCACTATCACTGGTAGGAGCCTTTGCCTTTGATAATATCCACCGCAGCCGTAGTCCGAACGTCAAACATAAAAACCTACTTCAACAGATCTCGGAAATAATCAGGCTACACTACTGCAAAAAATGAACTCACCACCCATTCTGCTGATCATGCCGAACATCCCTATCGCGATTCCTAAAGAAAACAGTGGTTTCAAAGTGGGTCCCAAGAGTGCAGTTGTCAGTCTCGAATATTCAAAAAGTGTGCCGTAGACAGCGATGGTCGGTAGACCAAAAAATAGCAGCAACCACAAACAAGATACTACCTAAAAACGAAAAATCAGTTCAATAATTATTTTCAAAGGCGAATATCTAGACTTGCATGGATATAGAAATATCTAGTCACAACTCTCCTACACTACATAAGGAAATATAGAACAAGTAATGAAACTTTCGAATCATATTCCAAAAGATACAGATGTATTTTTATAATGGTAGTAGGAGATCCCAGCAATAATACATGAACGGATGTATAGCCATAGCAACAAACTTTGCCAAACATTGCTGAGTAAATCAATAGTTATCGTTGTTCCATAGGAAAACAGCAATAACGATTTCCTGACGACGGTGAACTGGTTAGCGAAACGCGCGTCGAGAAACCGTAATTTTTGTTCTGGTGTAGGGAAAGTGTTTGCAATAGATTCATTTCACGCCAGAGGTTCCAGTACGAACTAACAAAAATATTTTGATTTATATCTTGCTACACAAATATCATACTTTCCTGATAAAAAATATAACTGTGAAATATTACTAGCACTTTGATGAAGTGAGGTCGATGCGGCGGCGGCTCGTCAGAGGAGGCAAGGGAGGCTCAGCCACCCCATAAAATTTGAGGCTATTCATCGCAATAAATTAAAAGATATTGACAAATAATTATTATTATTTTTTTCTAAAAATGCTTGGGTATCATTACTTTACCATTAATTTTTAATATAAATACATAATATGCCCGAAAAAACACTATCGCTCACTACATAGTACGTACCACACTGTATCCTGCATCAACAAACCTCAAACGTACCGCCCATGAACGAATAACGAATAAACCATCAACCCGAAATAGTAAATGCCATACGTTGCAAGGGGGCCAAGCCTCCGACCGTTTTAAAAAACACAAGCTTCGCCAGGCCGATCCAACCAACGAAATACGTTCCGATTTGTACTTTTGGTTGCAGAAAATATAGCGTTGGAGGAGGCTAGCCTCCAGTTGGTCTCCGTTAGCGTATGGCTGCATTTGTTTTTCATTTAATTATTCGGACGGGATGCCGTGACAGACCGGGACAGAAAAATATTTCAATAAATCGTTCAAGTGTTTTTTGATAGTATTTGTTATTTGTGTATTGTATTATAGCAGTGCTTTTTGGTGTTTTTAATGTGTTTTCTTTCAATTCAAAGGTGTTTTCAGGTTTTCACTCCTTGTTAAGTTTTTTCTCCATTTATTACGGGTAAGTTGGACGAAAATAAAAAATCTGATGATATAGTCGATTGGTTGCTGACAAATAATTTTGAGTCTTTATCTTGGGATAATAAATTTCACATTATTGAAACTCGGGGAAGGCCTCAACCCAATTTGATTTCAATTGAAGCGTCAGATAATCGACAAAGGATTTAATATTAGTTGGTACGAAAAATGCGATTGATTAACCGGCTCCATTAAACGAGAAAAACTTTTATGTTGGCCCCGTGTTTTATTTTCCACCACCGCTGTTTTCTTTCTAGTAATCACGAATACAATGATTCTTCCCATCACTGGACCAACGGAATGAGGAATTTGAAGTTGACAAAGGATTTAATATTAGTTGGTACGAAAAATGCGATTGATTAACCGGCTCCATTAAACGAGAAAAACTTTTTTGTTGGCCCCGTGTTTTATTTTCCGCCACCGCTGTTTTCTTTCTAGTAATCACGAATACAATGATTCTTCCCATCACTGGACCAACGGAATGAGGAATTTGAAGTTGATTTTCTTGAAACTGAATCAGATATATTCATGGTGGTTTTTTCGAATTTGGGAGAGAAATATAATTCCAGAACTTGTTTATGTTCCTCTGCATCTTGTGAGGCAATTGGGAAGTGATCAATCTGCTCACTCCATTTTTCAATGTTCATAGGAAGTTCTAAATTGATTTGTGGGTTCAGAAGTATTTCATCTAATTTTTGAGTAGACGAAAGAGTACCCAATATCGATGTGGCCTTACCCCTTTGAATGGCAATACTGATTCGTTGAATTAAAAATGAACAGGCTCGGTTGTCATTGATAGAATTCGTCGTTCTTCTACCAATTTCATTCAACAATTCAGAAGCATGAGATCCAAAAACACCAAAGGTTTCAATAGCAACAGAAAAGAAACAGTAGGAACTTAGCAAAGTGGAGTGTTTCCGAAATTTTGATTTTTCTGCAAGCATAGCAGCTGCACCAGTGGAATTAGACGTAGCGTTAAGGTGTGAAGCTGGAACTGTATCCACGCAGGTGGACTTTAAATGACATTTTTCTAGATGATCTAAAAATCAGTTCCGAATCAACTACTACATTTTCAGACATTCCCTGAACTGTATTCGCTAGAACCTCTTTTGCTCTGACCCCGAATTTGAATTTTTCGAAGATATTCAAGTAACGAATTGACTATATTCAAAACACTTACTTTACTAGAGGCAAAAGTATGATTTTTGTAACGGTGGAATAAATTTCCAAACAAGAGACCAACTCCGTAACTTCCAAAGTTTATGTAGAGGGAAGTATACAAAACATACAGGTCGTACGAAGACATCAAGAGTTCTAAGGGCAGGTATCTAAAAAAATAATTTGAAGTAATAACTAAAACGCTCGCCAGTCAATAATTTTCGAATACAAATGTAATAGAAACCTAGGAAAGTGAGAAAAGTAACGGTTCCTTCACTTCCCAAACAATTATATTAATTTTCTGAAAACTTGTATACGTGAACTGTTATCTATTTGGATGTATCAGTTTCGAACATATTCTTCTGATTGGTGATAAAAATTTGGAAACTACAAAACATGCTTGAAACACGAATGAAAATTTTGAGCCTGGCAGCGAAAGAATTATAAAAAAATACATTTTTTGAGACTCGATAAAACGACCTGTGAATTTGGAAAAATCGAATTGTATAAAAATAAGAATAAAAGAGTACTCACTGTGCGTAGTACGGATATGCTACTGGTAGGTTGTGGTAATAAATCAAGCAACAGGTTATAGACCAGAAAAAACCAATGAGACAAGCAATCATCTTCTGTCCAATATCAAATTTGAACATCAAGTAGTATGTTACCAAGGATAACACATAAAACTGAATGTCATTTGCTAGGTACCAGAGCCCTAGGTTACACTAGAAAAAAAAATAAAGAGGTTTTAGGTCTCGAAAGGAGTTGAATACATTTCAAATAGATAGATAGATAGATTGTGTTTAACTACTTTATAAAATTTGTTTGAAGATGATTGACAATGTTTCATGATGAATTTCACTAGTTCGGACTTTCATTGTCTACTACATAAAGTGATTTGAAATCCCTGAAACAACTAAAAAAGAAGAATTGAAAATGAATAGCTGAAAATGACAATTATATTAACCAAAATAAACCTGAAATGAGATAATAGTGAAATAAAATAGTGATGTGAAAATAGAACAATTGAATGAATGAAAATAAACGAATGAAAAAAGAAAATAAAAATAAAAAGTGGAGAGATTCCAAGTCACGTTAGTTCACGACGTTTCGATTGTTAGTATCTACAATCGTCTCCGGGTGATGACTGGACTGATTCCTCCGAGAGATGACCTAGGTCGTTCGAGTACTTCCACTCATCCCCGCTTTCCATTTTCCGCTTCACCAGAAACCGGAAAATCCTATATTGGTGAAACTAAGAGGCCATTGAATGTTCGCATTGCCGAGCACAAGAAACACACACAGCGAGAAGAAACTAGCAAATAGGGAATAGCAGACCATGTTTGGACCCATCAATACAACATCGAGCAGTCCCAAGCTGAAGTCTTGCACAGAGAGGAACATTGGTTTAGGAGAAAATTCAAGGAAGCTGCATACATGTTGTCCAACAACGTATCCAGCCAAGCCAGCGTAGAAATACGCAACATATGGAAACCCATCATCAAGCGAAAAATGGCCAACTTCCGCCAAAACGGTCATCTCCCACGGAACCAGTGAAGCGGAAAATGGAAAGCGGGGATAAGTGAAAGTACTCGAACGACCTATAAATAGTCATCTCTCGGAAGAATCAGTTCAGTCATCACCCGAAGACGATTGTAGATACTAACAATCGAAACGTCGTGAACTAACGTGACTTGGAATCTCTCCACTTTTCATTTTTATTTTATTTTTTCATTTCTTTATTTTCATTTATTCAATTGTTCTATTTATACTTGTATTTTATTTCACTATTATTTCATTTCAGGTTTATTTTGGTTAATATAATTGTTATTTTCAGCTATTCATTTTCAATTCTTGTTTTCTAGTTGTTTCAGGGATTTCAAATCATTTTATATAGTAGACAATGGAAGTCCGAACTAATGAAATTCACTTTACAATATGTTTTTTTGTAGCACTTCAAAAAAGAAAGTTCGATAAAAATTTTTTTCACAAAATTTGACAGCAAATACAGTAAAAACAGGAATTTGAGAATTGAGTTACAATATGTTATCAAACTATCACAGCAGAGGTGCGGAAATGCGTTTGGCTTGGCAATGCGCAATGTAATCCTCAACAGTGTGAAAACAATATTTCAGGAGATACTTTCTTAATTATTTCTTTAAGGCATTAATACTCAATTTTTTTAAATTTGTGTTGAAAATCTCATAGTTCAGTGAGTTCGACTGTGAAATATTTTTTAAAGAATTTATGGTTAGTGATTCAACGGTCAATTCAACAGTAAAATTGTTTTCAGTAGGGAAGGCCCCAGTAGAGACCTTCCCCACTTCTCTACTCTTGTCATCACTTTGTCAACCAATCAGAAACCGCTGCGCGCATGTCTGATTTTGTGAAAACTATGAGATTGGAGTTTTCACGACTTTTTCATTTTTGAGGGAATTTCGAGGAAACTTTGAGAGGGTGTAAAAGCTTTTTCATCTATAGGAATTTCTGAGAAAATTTTGACGGAAGTTTGGGAGTATTTTGAGGGCTTTCTCATTTGTGAGGAAGGCGTGAAGGAATTAGAAAGCCCTCAAAGTTTCCTCAGACTGTCCTCACGAATGGGAGAGTCCTCAAAATCACTCAGAATTTTTTCAAATTCCTATCGAAATTTCCCCCGATATTTTCACAAAATCAGACGTGCGCCCGGCGACTTCTGATGAATTTTCTCAAATTTCTATCGAAATTTTCCCCGATATTTTCACAAAATCAGACGTGCGCGCGGCGACTTCTGATTAATAGACAATTTAACAATTTGGAGACGAAATAAGTGAAGAAGTAGCTGAACGAATCGCCTTTCAGATACTGTAATCAGTAACAAAAAGTTGTTATATCTATTACCGATATTGTATACTGATAGTTCTATGAGTGACATTATTCATGGCTTAGGTTAATGAAAAAATCAGGTCAAGCCTACTGTTGAACGAAAATTTAGTTTCGACATTGAGTCGGGATGATCCAAACTGTTAATTGGTTTGAAACATTCATCGAACTGTTGTAACGTGCTGCTTGGACGAAACTATGATCATGATTGTGTGCCTTCATCCTGTCATGTTTTGTGTCATTTGTCTCATTAGAGACAGTTTTCGTAAAGAAAATTTTCACTCCAAGTGGAAGGAACTAATTAGAACTCCTTCTATAAAACAAATATAACAAATTATATTGCAGTCAATTGAGATTCTTTGTCAGAAGACATGTTGCAAAATCCTCAACTCGATAAGTGTTTCACAAAAAGGTTTCATTTGAATGATAATTCTATTTCAGTATTCATTTCATTATCACGCCCAAGTGCTTGAATTATTTCTCAGACGAGAACTGGAATGATCAAAGTTGAGGTTTTTTGAATGGTTTCTGCATTGATTTGAGAAGAATAATTATTTATTCTTTTTTCTCAAATTCCTCTGCTTCCTCCATCCCAATAATCCACTCACGTAGTTGTGAGTACACTAACACCTCATTACAGTTCGTTTGATATTTTTTACCAAATCATAGAATTCAAACTTTTCGATAGGCTATGAACATCACCGCATTTATGAAGTTTTTTATTTGATTCACCTGAATAATCTAAAATTGAAAGTTAATCTTTGCTAATACATGCAAAAATGCAAATGCTTCATTCGATAAATAGATTCAGGTCAAAGATGAATTTGGAATTGCACGAGTTTCACAACTTGATAACCTCAAACTCGAAAAGAGGGGCTAATAGATTTTGGTGAGAGGGAAATTAATTTCATGTTGTTAACAGAATTAGAATATTTGCCTGTAATTTGTTATTCAACGGTATCCTCATTTTCATAATATAAAACGCTAAATGATTACCATTTCAGATGACTTGAATATATTGTTTATCAGAAGTAATGAAGCCCACCAATTTTTCTGGCAAGCATTGTAGTCCATTTCGAAGGATTCAATGGGTGGTGGAGCAACCAACACCTTTGTCCAGTTGCTCATCTCGAGGCAGATAACGAACGCCAAGCAAGAAAATAACCTGCGAAAATTTAATGAAAATAATTATGTTGAAAGTTTTCAGTAGAAGTGGAAATTAGGTCGGAATGGCGCGAAATAGGCTATTCTGATCATATTTAAACAATGATAAACAAAGAAGGCTCAGGATGTGGAGTATACTCCAGATCACTAAGCCTAAGAATTAAGTGGGGAATAGGAAAAAATACCAGCGTTGTCCAAACAGAACTAGCTGCTACCTCAATGGCCACAAAAAAATAACCAGGAAAGGAGTTTCTGGCAAAAACATAACAGTCTGTACTGACAGCAGACAAGCCCTATCAGCCTTGAACAGACAACGTATAACCTCAGGGTTAGTACCATAGTGCCACCAAGATTTAGCCAAAGCCTCGGTAGATAATAACATTACCCTGAGGTGGGTCAAAGAGCACAACAGGAGTGAAGGTAATCGCATTGCCGACTCTTTAGCCAAGGAAGCGGCTGGCCTAAGAATTTTAGGACCCAGTGACACTTACGGCCTGATGACTTCGACAATTGCAGAACTAGCCAAATATAACACCCATGCTCAATCCCTAAAGAGATGGGATAAAATCAAAGGATGCAATCTTGCCAGGATCACCCTGGACGACCCTGGGAAGCTGGCGCCGAAGAAATATCTGGCGATGACCAGGAAGAATCTACGCTTAACAGTAGGATTTCTGACAGGCCACTGTCAACTAAGGAAACACCTCCATAATATGGGGCTAGTGGACACACTTCTATGCAGGATGTGTGAACAGGAAGATGAAACTATCAGGCATGTCCTGTGCGAATGTCCTTAGTTATCGTCAATAAGAGAGTGTGTGTTCAGCGAGTCTTGGCCTGCACCTGCCGATATAAAGGAGATGTCTTCAAGTGACCTTTCCACCTTCCTGGAAAGGATATGATGTACGATGACCTGGGAGAAAAACTGCTCGGGAGTATGTACAATGGGTCACATGTGGCCCTCCCTACTCTACAGATACAGATATAGAACATGTGATGTTTCTTGAGTACGAAGCATTACTATCAAATACGACTCAGTGTGTATTTTTAAACATTCAAATGACTTTATGACTCAGCAGCCAACTCGTTCGATTCGTGAGCGACATATAATATCTGCTATTCTGAGCGGTGACAGATTCAACAAATCAACAGTTATGAAAATCCGTCCAGCATTGTTTTTTTAAGGAAAAAACACAAGCATAATCAGCGATCAACGTTGGATTTGAATTGCTGGAGACTGAATTCGTTTGGGAAAATGTTCTCAGGAAGTTAATTTCACATAAATGCAGTTCTCCACTTGAAAGAGTTCTTGCACAGTGAAGTTCGAAGTATACTGAGTTGGGCCCCAAAACGATGAGCAGCCACAGTCCACAGTCGAGTATTTCTGATATGTACCGCCTTTGGTGGAATCAAATGTACCAAGTCGTTTAAACACCTCCTCTGAAAGCATCTATGAAGTATAGACAAATTTCCAACCTAGTCTTCGATGTTCCAGACTATCAAGGTAGCAAGTGATGTTTTTGCCTCCAGTCAAGCGGATGGCTCTATTCTGGATGGAATCCAGCAGCTTCAGTTTATGCTTAGGAGCGGAGCTCCATAAATGTGAACAATACTCCAGAGAAGGTCTGATCTGAGCCTTATAAAGCATCTAATGTTGCTGAGGTGTGTACATTTTTCTGGTTCAGAACAATGTGTCAAGCTTTTGAAAAGCAGCCTTTGCAGAAAGCGCAATTGTCTTTCTGGAGAAAACCGATGCCTGGGTTTTTGTGGCAACGAATTGAACCTGGTTACTTCCATCCCAATTTTGAATCACCTCTAGATCCTTATTAAGATATGCAAACTAATGTCGTCGGTGAAGATGTGCATACACAGCAAATGTCCTGGAATCAAAATGGAATGTCGAGGCAAGGGTGCTGTCGTCAGTGTTATATCTTAAATTCTTCAGTATAACTTCAACATCAACAACACAATCAGTAACATTTAATTTCAATTATACTACGTACCTCATATATCTTCCAATTATCTTCTTGATTACAAACTGGAGCGTTACTTTTCCATTCTTTTCCACATGGTTGTACACCATTTTAGCTGTCAACCACCCTGATATCATGAAATTCGTTTGTACTAAAAGGAGCAATAGATTCACGATTGCTCTTGTCGACACATTCACATAAAACTGAAAAAGAAAAACAATAGCCAAAGAGTTGAAAAATTTAGATTGAATTGATGAGTTTTTCTCATCCTTTACTCCCCAGTTGTTTGTCTATGATATCATCTGTTTTAGAAACAGAGTGTAATGATGACGTAATGCCAGAATTTGTAACAATCGAGAAATATCCTACAGTACTGGTGTTTGGGAAAATAATTTCTTTTTTCATCCTAGTGTAATGGGGGTTTTGAAGGATTTTTGTTATTTGTTAGACTTCGTATCTTTCACTAATGATTCAAAATTGTCACTGATGATTATAACGATAATCTCTGTCTGTGAAAGCTGACTCACTCACCTTTTCCACATAATTTTCATTTGTCACATAACCTAGAAGACCTCCTGTTAAAGTGTGTCCAACTATCACTAAAGCCATCGTGTATGTCCGCACTCCTTGCAAACATTTCATCTGGTTATATTCTGGGTCAGTTATAGGCTTTTTCAGGTTCCTCCATTGATTTACAATCGAGAAATATGAAAAGAATTTTCCACCTAGAGAATATTCCATCAGTTTACCGAGTTTAAAATGTATAAATATCCCTAATTTTCGATATTTTGCAATAGAATATATTTAATGCTTGCGATATGATGATATGAAGTTTTGGATTGCTCAGTTTGAAAAAATTTGGATCATGTAAGTTCCTTGTTTGCTGAATTATGAATAATTGATGTGTATTTATCGTTTGTGAAAATCATAAAGTACCTTTAAATTGAGACATACCCATTTTTGATGGCTCATGTGATTGTTCCAAATCTATCTTTGTTGCATAACCCACTAGGGTTAGGTAGCCAATCAATATTACCCTGAAATCGAATGTGATCAATTAAAAATCAGTTAGGAATCAAACGTTAAAATTAAGACCTCTTTAGTCGTCAGCTTGCACAATCACAATACAAAGCTCCAAAAATGTTCTCACCTGATTACCATTTTTTAAAGAAAACTTTGTTACCTATATGAATCATTGAATCAATTTTATCACCTGGATAACGAGACTTTTCAACAACATTTGTTTGGAAGTACAATTATCTGGAACACACCTTCGAAATATGAACAGAGTATATGTAAATGACCTAACTCTTATTTTCACACGGTTTATATTAGCTTCACCTGTATGTATGTATGTTTATTTGTATGTATGTTTGTAAGTTTCAAGCTCAGGATCTGTATTGACAGAATTATCTACATTATTGCTGGATCTATTCGCTGGCAGATGGCGCTATACGTAACCTCCTTGATATTTCTTGATCTATTCGCCGGCAGATGTCACTGTACGTAACTCTTGACATTATTGCTTGATTTATTCGCGGGTAGACGGTGCTGTACGTAACTCCTTGATAATTTGTTCAAAAGAAAATCAAAATAAATAAATATGGTTTAAAAATATGAAAAACACGCTTTTGAAAAACATCGAACTGAAAATGTAAAAACATTTTATAATATATTAGACAATGGAAGTCCGAACCGATGAAATACACCACGAAACATTGTTAACCACCTTCAACGAAGCTGGGAGCCATACACAAAAATGAAACGACAAGCCATAGCATCGAAGTTTGGTCAGCAATCCCCCATGATACACACAGCTCTTGACTCTCCATGTTTTCCGATTGCGTTATTTCAAATATGGGTGACATATGTTTGTTGATCTTTGTTTCCGAAAGCCATATTCATGATCGCTCAAGATGTTAAAGCCTTCCAAATATTTAAGGTCATGGTGGTTTGCGGCTTTCCTTATGATTTTTGATTGGTCTATAGTTTGGAACATTTTTCTTGACCTTTTTGGGAATAGGCTGCACGCTAGCAATCTTCCAACAAGAGAAAAACCCCTTCCTTGTAAGACAGGTGGAAAAGTTTGCAAGATACTGATGCGATTTCATTTGCGCACTTTTTGAGTGTGATGGTGGGCACTTCATTAGGGCCAGACGCCTTGTTGATATTGAGCTGTTTCGAAATTTCTGAAATTGTGGATTCTAGTGCAGGAATAGTCGCAGAATATGGACTGCCATATGTCGATATCACTAATATCGATTCCGATTTACCTTATAGCTGAAATAGTGTAATAAGTTGGATATATTATATTTTTCGTTGAATTTTAGATACCAAAACACATGTGTTTTCGTATGAAGAGGAAACATTATCATCTTTTAGAAATAACCTTAAGGCCAACAGAGCCAAGCATTTAAAGGAAAAGTCGTTAAAATTAACTGCTTGATGCTAAGAAATTCGATATTTTGAAACATTCAACCTCATCATTCATTTCATTATCTTTCGTTAAGGGTCGAAAATATGTTATCCATTCTGTATACCCCATTTGGAATAAAAGTCCAAAAAGCAATTAAACGTATAATAAATATCAAAATTTATGTTCCGAGGGGTTAGAGTGTCAGCCTTAATTTTAACGACATGATAAAATTAATGTCTAGCATAGTCTACATACCACTATTCGAAACAGCAAAAATATCAAACTGATCCTTGCAGTGACATCTATATATCAGTAGCAGACTCACGACATTAGAAATGTCGGGAACTAGACGGTAATTCTTGCGGACTTATCCGCTGAACATGTAGAGGACGTTAAGAGTACCAGTTTCGGAAATAATTTCAGACTTTCTGATTGGTGGGAGTTTTTATGAGATTATTTGAATTACATCCCCTAATAGAGTTAAGGTGGAAATTTTTGGGAGAGAATTAAGTCAGTCGTGCGCGGACCCCAGGGTCGTTTAGGGGCTCTTGTCCGGGGCAGTTCGCCCCTTTGGGGAGGTTGCCGGGAAAGCTATTGAAGGGACTGAGGTGCTAGGGGTTTTAAGATACTGGGTCGCGAGGGGATTTCAGTAGTGCGATGAATATTCGCGGTTTATTTGACTAGCTGACTTGAAGTAAAATGTCAGGAGCGTACGAAGTCAGAAATATGCCGGTTGAATTTCCTCCAGAGTTTTGGGAAATACTCGAATAGAGTGAAATACGGTTTAGAGAAGTGATCTTTGGGAGTTATTCGCGTTTTATTTGGCTAGCTGACTTGAGGTCAAAAGTCAGGAGCTTACGAACTCAGAAGTAGGTCGGTTGGACTTCCTACGAAGTTCTGAGTGACTTTTGGAGGTACTGAAATACGAGGTAGTTTCGGTCACCGTTTTGCGAGGTGTTTTGGAATTGATAAATAATCGAGGTTTCGTTGATTTGAGGTAAAGTCAGTGGTGCGCGGAGATTTGGTGAATCCAGTTGAATTTCCTACAGTAGCTTGGAATTCTAGAGGAAATTTTAAGTGCATTGAAATATTGAGATATTTCAAGACACGGTTTAGAGAAGTGATACTAATTGGGTTTTGGAAGTATTCGCGGGTTTATTCAATTTAGTGATTTAGAGATTTTTTCGAGTTCCTGGTAAGCGTTTTTGGGGAAATAGTGGCTTTTGTTGGAGTTTTCAGGGGAGTCCGTCTACGATAATTTTGGTGAGCGTATTTTAAACAATTCTGATATAGAGTGTAGATGTTATTGCATACGTATGTGGATTATACTTTCGACTTGACACCTAGGGTATTAGTGAACATTTACCATAATAATATAGCTACGAATCGGGTTCCCTTTTCATTTTATTAGGTTATTATACGTCATAGTAATTTCCTACGTTATACAGGGAGGAGCGATTAAGTGGGTCTCTTGATAGCTTCTCAGAGTTGTATTTTAGTTGGTTTTATAGCATAGTTAGTAGAATTCAGGCAAGGCATATCTATGCCCTGAGTGAAGTTACCTCAGTTTTCATAGGAATACTCCTGTCATTTTGTTTTAGTAGTTTACCCATTGTTTGCTCATGGTTTCTTTTATATAGTGTAAATAACGTTCAGTATTAATTTCTGTTCATTCAATTTTTTTTTATTGTTAATCCGATTATTCTGCCAACTTTACTCATCAATAAAGTTGGTTTGTGAAAACTTTGCTCATATCATTTCATTCCCTCAAGCCCCTAAAAGACCACGCATTTAAGCCGTGGCTGAATCCAGTCTCTGAGGATATAATTGGTGGCATAATCAAGCCATTTCTCCACGAAGATTAGAAGGTAGGAAAAATTCAGCTGTTGACCAAGTTGCCTACTAATTCTCAATCCGTGTGATCAGGATCAGGATCAGGTGGCAGCAACTCTCACGCTACCAAACTAAATTAAGAAAATAAATACCTTTGGCTGAACGATCCCATATACAGGGGGGTGAATTTTTCTGGTGCGAGTGAACTGAGATGATTATTATATATTCATTAGTAGTACTTATATAGGGATCGCCAATTCAGACCCGACGGTCATTTATTACAATAGTATTCACAGAGATGCTGAAAATGTGAAGTTTTCGAGAGGAGAAGAGAAGTTGTTCCAGAAAAGTTTTGTTCTACTTCTGCTAGGTGGTATGGGAAAATTTCCCTAATTCTACCAAAACCTCACGGTTCTACAGTTTTGTTGTACCGTTAACATCAAAATATTTGTTCAAATAATCCTTAGTATTCTTATACAAGAGTGACTGAATGCAATTAGTTTATACTCACATTAAGATATAGTCGTATGGAGTCAAATGGTCCACTCTAGAATAATTATGACAGCACAGAGAATCCAAATGAGCTGTCATTGAGAAATTTTTGAGCAGGCTGTTTTCTTTCTTCGTTGCTTCGAGTTGTATTTCTGTCTCATCTTCGAGTACATTCGATAGGCACCGAAAGCGGTATACAATATCACGTCTGAAGCAGTGTTTGTAGTTCTTAGACTTCTATAAAAAAATGTTCAATTTCATTTGAGGAATATAGAGTGGAATCCTCCAATTATTGTTTGCTATTAAACCATTAACGGCCAACACATTAGAAATTTGTAATTTAGGAAAAATATTCATTGTGGCACGTTTAGAATACTCTAAAAAACATTAAAAAAATATGAACTCACAGTATTGAAAAAAAATAAGTGGGTGCGTAAGCGCACCTTTGGCCAAAATAAATGGTGTTTCTTTCATAAAATCGACATTTTTCTCTTGCACTGTTGGTATCTTTAATTATCACATCTCCGAGATTATCAAATCTTATATCATCTGATAGAGCTGATTTAGATGGTCTTCCGTATAATGGGTTGGATTCTGCCCCATTCGAGGTTTCATTGGTGTTACTTGATTGCCCACTACATTTTAGTAGACGTATTACCAGTTGAGAACGAAACTCCAGTTGTGATATTCTGGATTCATTCGCAATTCTATAAATTTTCCAACTATTCACAACCATACTGTCAATCATATTAGTGAACAATGGCCACCACCACTTCTTTCCTCTTATCCTAATTCGATAGTTGGCATTGTCATTGTCATTATATCGCACTACTAGAACTCCGAGGATGGAATCGAAAGCACAAGTGTAAAAACCTCTTTCCTTTTTAGCCATTTTTTTACTATTTTCAGCGGGGCATTCAGCAGTGCGATTTTCCCTCACAGTTCCTGTTGCGAAAAATCATTTTTCTCTCAAGCTTACAAAAAAAGAATATGAAGAGAAAAAATTATCGAAAAATTTCCTATATCGCTCTGGATTTTCGACCACTGACAGGAACTCTAAAACAACTCTAGTTCCTAATGCTACAGCAGGATTTGCTTTTTCCGCTTTTCCGCCATATGGAATGATCTTGAATAAGTAACCAGTATCAGAACATAGACATCATAGCTTGAAACCAAATCTCACTGGTTTTCCACGAATAAACATTTTGCAGGAATGGCGTCCGTAATGCGGTATCATTTCTTCATCAATAGAAAGACTGTCTGAAAATATCCCGAACTGTATATTCTTCCTGTTGATAATATCAAAACTTGGTGTCAATTCTGAAAATTTATCATCTTTGTTCAACAATGTGTTATCTGACAAATGGGTGTTTTGTTTAATTGATCTGAATTCATTTCGACTCATGGTTTCTCTCACAATGCGCACTTCTTTATCTTCAACCTTCGACCAATACATGTCAGTTTGTGATAGAGTATGATATCCGGATAATATCAGTATGCCAATAAATTTTTGCAAATCTGATTTGTTGATATGAGAATCGTGCCGGTTTTTTTGGGGTGCATAGATATTTGAAAAATTCAAAATTTTTTCGGTCACCTCGTTATCCAAAAATAGTGAAAAGATTTCGTAAGGTGTCTTGCCGCCATGTTCTGCTCTTATGTTATTCAAATTTTCAATGGAATGGTATTGGGGAGAACCTGAGTAGGTAGGTATATATATTCTTTCCCATTCTGGAATAACGTTTTTTTCAGATTTTGTAGCTTTTTGATTTTCTGATTCAATACGTTTTGCTATTTCACTCAGTCGTCTTCTGAATCATGACGACTATCTTAATTCGATTGTATTCTTGAAGTTCCGGCAACATCCGCCTCAGCATGTTCTGCTATTTCACTCAAAGAGATGTCATCATTTGAATCATCACTATCCTTATTCACTTGTATTTCACGAGTTCCCGCAATATCCTCCTCCATTATTTCTTCTCCGATTATATTTTCATCAATATTCTCCTCACCAGTCAACTCGTTTCCGGCGGCAAATAAACGACATCATTCGAATCATAATTTTGATAATCCAACTCTTTCTCTAATAAAGCACTCAACTCTTGCGTCGTCACTGCTCTCTTTATTTCTCATTCCCCACCAAAAGTGCGTATACGCAACCATCACAAGTACATGCAAAAATGAACGACATCCGAAAATATTTACGTAAATGAAAATACACGTTATCATTGAGCATATTTTTCATTACTGTTCAGCACGAAATGAATTTATCATTTTATATTCAGTATCGAAAAAATACATTTTATTGGAGAATTACGAGAACGGTCAATTTATAACATTTTCAAGTAAATTTCAGAAATTGAAAAAAACATGTTTGGGATTGAATAAAAATATTTTTACTTTTTCTGAATTATTGTTATGAATATCCATCAGAATGAACATAAATAATATTGATCCAAACTACAAAAAAATGTATAGAAAAGTTGCGTTTACACACCTTTATATTTCAGTATTTATTGAAATGAATGAAGGAATAATACTTTCACTTAATACTCTACAAACTGAGTAGAGAAAATTGTTATCTTTCGTGTTATTCAATGTTTATATGAAAGTAACTCTTTCAGGGAGGCTTTTTTTTCCAGTTTGTGTCTGGAAGTTACTTCTTTGCACGATTTACACATATATATGTATGAAGTGACTCCTTCCAAAATTGATTACTTCCTTCCTTTCTTTTGAAGATTCCTACATTTTTCTGTATCCAGATGGAGTTGTAGAAAGCTAGAAACTTTCTTTTCCAAAAATTAGTCACTCCTTTAAATATAACCCTTTCAAATTAAACAAGAATTTTTTATCTTGTAAAATTGGGAAGCAACTCTTTCAGCACAAAAAAATATTTGTCGGATTAAAAATGTACTGAATACTAGCATATTATGCGATTTGTGGAAAGTAGAGAATGGCAATTTAATTTTGAATTATGAACCATTTTTTTTTGGTACCTTGGGAGCTGTCTGACTTGTCCATTTAGTCCAATCTCCAGAAAACACTGCAGTCTCTTGGACTTATTGCGTTTATTCTCCCATCTTCTCATGACACCCATTCCATCAGTCTCGTTCCCTATACTAGTTTGTACAGGTTTCGTGTTGGATGTTCGTCATATTCTTCTGGACGTAGTTTCGTACATCCATATATTGCTTGCCTCCTGTGATTCAGTGCCTCACATTCGCATAAGATGTGTGGAGCTGTTTCTATCCCTTTGTTGCATAATCTGCAGCTGAGGTCTCCGTTGTATAGCCCCATTTTATTCGGGTGTCCTCTAAGCGGACCGGTTAGTAGCCCTGTGATTATTCTGAGCCGATCCCTACTACATTGAAGTAGTTTTTCGGTTCTTTTCTCGGACGGTTCCCTAATTAAGGTTCTATTGTGTTTGTTGCCAGGTACGTTTGTCCATGTCCTAGTCTGGTTTCTCACCAATAATTTTGTTACCCCCAGAGCTTGTTCAGGACCTATATATGAAGTTGATGATCCGCGTCTAGCACATTCATCAGCTTTATCATTACCTGTGATTCCTGAATGCCCTGACACCCAGTACAAAGTTAATTTGTTTCTGTTTGCAAGTTCATTCAGTTCTTCGTGGCATTTCCAAACCAGTTTTGATGTCACCTTCGGGTTTGTCAGAGCCCCTAGTGCGCTCTTGCTGTCTGTAAAAATATTGATCCGCTCATTTCTTTGAGGTCTCAATTTAATAAGCCTTGCACACTGCAAGATAGCATACACTTCCGCCTGAAAGACAGATGTGTATAGTCCTAGCGGATATGAACCATAAAAATATATAAAATTCCAATTCCGATAAGGTTTGAAAAAAGAATTACGAGAACTGAAAAGTTCTTTCACTGTATATATCAAGTGTGATATACTGGCTCCATCTTGCGTGTAGAAGTTAAAGTTACGCAGAATGTTGACATTGAAGAAAATATATCTGTAGGTAGAATTATGATACTAACTGCATTAAGTGTAGATGGCGCATGAGGTGATAGGCAGGATGAGGAAACAAATTACATTCAGAAATGAAATAAGAGAGCAGATAAAAATAATTTGAACCTACTTTACTGCGTTTTGAGGTTGATGCAGTGACTGTACAGATAATTTCGGGTATATAATTATTTGCTTTCAGTTCTTGTTTCGTTACTTCCAAATATTTATCATCTTTGAAAAAAAGGTTGTTTTTGAAAGTTGGTCTTTCAGTAGTGGTTTATCATCTCTAGATATATATTTGGTATTATATTAAACTTTTCGTATTGATTGAATACTATTATTCAAGAAATACTGAACAAAGCTTACCTCTACAATTTTCCATGTGTTAGTATTATTGTTCATGGGTATCAGGGAAAATTTCATCCTGCAGAAAAGATTGCCATCACTCTTGCATACCGAAAAATTATCTGCGGCGAATATGGGTGGAACATTGTCATGTTTACAATCTAAAAAAAAAAAACAGCAAATCATTAAAGATGTTTTTTTACGGTCGAGAATGTTCATGTATAATTTTCAGTGGCATACAAAAAGGTAAACACAAGAGCATGTCAAAAATCAAAACCCTGCTTTACTTTGCCAAGCTTTCGCTTCTAATGGGAAGCTTCTTCAGGACAGTAAAAATGAGTAAAAAACAATGAATTGAATATATAAACCGACGAAAGACAGTTAAACATTGATGGATTTTTTTTCCCTTTTTTTATTTTTTGACTGAGAGACCTCATTAATTATTTTACTGTATGTATATGAACATATATATTTATATACATATATAAAGATGGAGCCAAGGAAGCTTTATTTGAGTCGTGTGGTCTAAAGCACACTCACTCATTATGAAATATTCTATTGATTTATCACACAGAAAGAAAGCATTTCACTGAGAAAGTGGATAATGTCTCTCCCAACATTTTTTCATTTCCTGTGTAATAAAGAGCGAAAATTTGGCTACTTTGTTGATTCAAAGGATACCGATATTGTGTCTCCAATAATAACAAAGTAACGATTTGGATAATTCTGTATGATCGTATTATCTTTGTTAAGTTACCCTGTACAATTCTCACTAGCACTGATTTATGTGTAGTTGAAAAACGGTGCCGGAAAAATAAGAAGATATAAGAGTCCTTGTCTTGTCCTGGTTTCTATTAACGAACATTCGCCTGGTTTATCTGATGTCGAGAAGTTCCTACCCCGTAATTACATCGGTGTAACAATAAGATCACACAGCGAGATTTCTAGAAAGGAACTGCAAGGAGATAATCTACAAAATATACAGTTTTTCGAGGGCGATGTGTTAGTAATTGAGCGTTCGCTGTTTCGGAAGTAGAAGGTGATAATCTCTCATTTCAATCTGTTGACGAGATACATTCGGAAAACGTGAACATGAATAATCGCTGTTCAGCACTTTTAGGTATATTGATATTAACACTTTTGTGTAACTGGAAATTATCTCGCACTTCTCTCATGAATTATTGATTAGAAGTCTTCAATCTTAGCCCGATCGTATGGCTGGTTTTGGAAAACCTCGCGAGGTGCAGAAGTTGAGTTATACCTTCTTCCCTACTCTTAATTTTAGAAGGGGGCAGAACTACAGTTCACTGAAATTATCACTTTCATTTTACTGGAGAAAACCTCTCACTTTTCTTATGAATTTTTCGATCACGAAGGTGTAGGAGTTGAATTATACCCTCTTCCTTCCCCTCGACTTTTTGAAGGGACAAGCCGACAGTTTTTCGACTTTATTACTTTCATGGTACTGATGAATGACTTGGTACTTCTCTTATGGACTTTTCGATCTGAAGTCTTCCAATCTCAGCCCGATCGTATGGTTGAAAACCTCACTAGATGCAGAAGTTGAGTTATACCTTCTCTATTCTTAATTTTTGAAGGGGGCCGAACTACAGTCCATTGGAATCATCACTTTTGTGTTACTGGTAAATAGTCTCTTACTTCTCTTATGAACTTTTTGACCTTAAATATTCCAATCTCAGCCCGATCGTATGGCTAGTTCCGGAAAACATCGCGAGGTGTAGGAGTAAGGTTTTACCTTCTTCCCTACTCTTAATTTCTGAAAGGGACGGAACTACAGTCCACTGAAAATATCACTTTTGTGTTACTGGAGAAAAACCTCTTACTTCTCTTATGAACTTTTTGACCTTAAATATTCCAATCTCAGCCCGATCGTATGGCTAGTTCCGGAAAACATCGCGAGGTGTAGGAGTAAGGTTTTACCTTCTTCCCTACTCTTAATTTCTGAAGGGGGCCCGATCGTATGGCTAGATTTGGAAAACCTCACGAGGTGTAGGAGTTGAATCATACCTTCTTTCCTCCCCTCAAGTTTTCGAAGGAGCAGGCCGACAACTTTCTTGATTTCATTACTATCATGTTAGTGATGAATGACTTGTCACTTCTTTTATGAACTTTTTGATCTGGAGTGTTTCAATCGCAGCCCAATCGTATGACTAGTTTTGAAAAACGTCACGAAATGCAGAAGTTGAGTAATGTCTTCTTCTCTACTCTTAGTTTTTGAAGGGGGTAGAACTACAGTCCATTGAAATTATCACTTTTGTGTTAATGCGATATGACTTCGCACTTCTCCCATGAACTGTTTGATCTGATCAATTTTATATACAAAGATCATCACTGTTTCAAATTTGGATGAGCGTTTGCGAAGTTTTTGGTGTATGGATTGAAGACTAGAGAAAAATGATAATTTGTGACTCTGTAACCAAAAGACAACTGAAACAGCTCCAAAGTTAGGTATAACAGGGAACCCAAAGTTTGTGATATGCAAGAGAAATAAATCCTTCACGAAAACGAATCGTATTTACAATAAAAACGTACCCAAGCATTTGACAGAAAAACGCATTTCTGTTTTTATTCGATTTACGACTTTTTGGGACCGTTTATGTAGATAAGAATCCACAACTTGTTACCCTAGGTCAGGTTAGGTTAGGTCTGAAGTGATTGGGACTATTCGACCCTCCACCGTAACCCGCAAGGGTTTATTGTGGCTCACACCTATTCACACTCGACCAAATAAACCCAGCTTCTTAACGAAGCCGATTAGTTTGTATGGTGAGTAGTCTTTCAGATCATATGGTAAGAGTACAGCTCTGTCTAACTCTGAAAACCTTGAAGAAGGCCTGTTAGAAATTGCAGTTCATCCCACAACTGTTTGGTACCAAGCTCCGAAGGGTGAATGAACGCTTTGGAGTGAGCCGTTCCTGGAAGATTCTGCCGGAAGTTCATAAATCTTCTTGCCATTCAGGTGTTCATTGTTTTTTTGTCAAAGTCTAAAGCGATGCCAGTGACAGATTCTGGTCCGATGAAGCTGCACCCTCCTTTGCGAGGGAGTCAGCAGCTTCATTGCCTTCCAGGCCAGTATGGCCAGGAATCCAGATCAGTGACAATCTGTTAAGTCTTATTATCAAGGAGAGTCGTTTTTGGCAACTTGCTACCAATTTAGACGTTGCTCGGTAGGAGCCAAGAGCTTTCAACGCCGCTTGACTGTCCTAGAATATTTTTATTGACTTGTGTATGATGTTGGATTTATCCAATCTCCCCGCACACAATTCACTAGCGTAAATTTCCGCTTGAAATACAATCGCATAAGTTCCTAGGCAGGTAAATATCTCTGTCCTGGGTCTGCGACTGGAAACACCTCCACCAGAACTGGAAGGTTTTTTGATCCATCTGTGAACCAACAACTATGTGTTCTTAATATTTCCTTCTCCCGGAGAATCCAATCCTCTCTACTCGGGAATAATACTTTATAAGGCAGTTCGTAGTTGACAGTTGGAGGCATAAAGTCAGAGGTCATTTCCAGAAGTTCGATTGTTAGGATGTGTCACGAATCAAAATTCGGTCTTTATCTCCCAAATTACTACACCGTAGGCGCTTGCCGAAAAACAACTACTTTCCTGGCTAATACCACGCTGGATATTGAAATATATGCGATAGACACTTATGCAACATAATTCACAGAGGTAAGTATCGCACTTGTTTCTCATTCATCCAGCAGCATGGTCAGCTGGATGAACGAGCACCATGGCCTGCTGGATGTTGGTTGTGAATTCCATATCTGATTTTGCCTCTACTGGTGTGGTAAAAATTATTGAAGGTGATAAGGAAACGGATGAAGTGCTCTCATAGTAAAGCTTGGCAAATTTAGCTGTGCCTCTGAATATTGGATGCGCAGTAGATCAGTCGGCGGAGTCGGGCGAGAAATTAGTAACATCGAGGAACTCGTGTAGAAAATATCGTGTTTTGGTATATTAAGTGGAAAAATTATTCTGTGTGTTGAACTGAGAGTTATTTGTTGTCATTGAGAATGCTTTTGAACAGTAAACTGAAAAACAAGGTTCTCAATGGACAAAGCAGAGAAATTTTGAATATGCAAGCGAAATCTGTCTGTTCTGTTTTTCCGGTAATCAGCCAGAAACACGTGTCCGCGGTTTGCCCCCCTTTTTGGAGTGTTTTATCCACGAATTGTTTCATTCCATATCGTAGGCGTGTCTCTATTCGTACATAATAAACAGAAATAAGGTGTTGCTCATCTAGGACAGTCCGTAGGTTCTTGAACATGTACACCAGTATATACAACTTATTAGAAACATATATGCAGTGATTTCTGAAATTAAGGGTTTCATCGAGATACATTCCTAGGAATTTAACTGTCTCATCATGCTCAATACAGCTGCCCTCAATACAAACGTTGAGTTGAGAGCATCTTTTTTTATAATTGTGAAATCTGATGCATCTTGTATCTTGTTTCAGTGCTATTCAGAAATAAAAATCGCGAATCGATGGATGAAAACCGTATGGAAATCCTTTTTTGAGTTTATCTCTTTCAGACAGACATGCAGACAGATACTGTGGGGAAATTGAATTCATAATATGTGATATCTTCTGCATTCTGCGCTGAGAATTGAAAACGGTGACCAATCGGTATCGCTCGATCTTTTTTGAGGTTCAAGGGTTGAAATTCACTTCACTGGGAAAATGCAAGTGAAGAGATTGCACATGAATGTAAAATACGAGTATAACGAGCATATCGAGTATTTTTTCCAATTTCGTTTAGCCTTCATTAAACTACCCCGTATGATATCCCACGTTCACTTTATATATTTTTAATTGGAGTCAATATTCTTCCGCGTTCTATTTTTGTAAAGTTGAAAATTCCTAAGGACCAACTTCTTCATCCATTTCGTTGTCAATGGCATTCATATCAGTGCAAAATCTCACGTGGAGCCAGTTTGTGGATACGACCTTGCGTAAATAATTGCCGATCGTACTTGGAAAATCCTGTAGTACCGCGAGAACTGCATCTACTGGGTGCATCGCACTCTTTAATTTTTTTGTCAGTGTAGACGACTCAACGCTTGCTTCGACTAACCTTCACAAGAAAGTATAAACTTGCTCCTGACCCACGGTGATTTCAGTGCTCGGA